AAATTAAATATTCTTAAAGATAATTATAATAAATAACATTGTTTCAAAAGCTACTTTCTAAACTTATCGATTTTTTATTTAAAATTAATCAAAATCTATTGACTAAAAAAATTTAAATCTATTTTCAATTTCTATCATCAAACATTAATTCGATAAAAGATACGATTATTATTTTTGAATTAAAACACATAAAGTACAATTGACGAACAAATTTTTTTAAATGAACAAAATTAACTATTTCCCGGATAAAAAAAACAGATAAAGGATGATCTTAAATAGGAATTGAAGATTTTTCGAACTGGCGCAAAAATTTCAAAGGAGAATGAAAAATACAAAGAAACACATATATATATATATATCGAACAGACGAGAAGAGAAGTTGAAAGCCAGAAAAGAAGAGATGCGAGTAGAGGTGAACAGAGGCAAAGAGAGACTATGGGCAGATACCGTAGGTAACCGATCCGATCGATCGATCGACCAATCGATCTGAGGCTTGCTTAAATCTACTACAATGAGTGTATTCACGTATTCACGAACATCTATTTGCCAGGATGTCGCCGGATTGGTAAACAAGGTGGCCGTCTTCGTCGTCCTCGACGGAGGGCGGTCGTGGGCTCTACATATGGGCCGGCGGAATCGGTATCAGCGGCGCATGCCAAGAGAGGACCCAATCAGTGGTGTGGAGTGCACCGTTTGGTGGCCCGGTTCACATTGGTCGACGATCGGTCCCCGTGTGTTCGTTTTCATGATGGACGAACAGGTGAAGCACCGACAGAGAACGATTTCCCCACCGTGACGTTGACGATTCACCAGTGGACCAAGAGATGTCGTTGTCGTTGTTCACACGTTGTTGATTGGTTGGATCGTGGTCGATGGCCCACCACGAAGTTGCGTTGAAGGTCGTGTTGTAGTAGTAGTGATCCCATCGGTCGAGGTTGAGGGTCCACATCCCAGGGCCGTCGCGTCAACCGATCGCCACACACACCGTCATCCACCACCACCACCACGAGGGCGGAGACCCGTGTAACACGCGGTAGAGGACGTGTGTAAGCACGGACGAACGTACGAGTGTGTCGGTGGGGAGGAAGTAGGGGGATACATCATCGTCATCGGTCATCATCGAACCACCCGATCCGAGCGCCCAGTCGAGACCATAGTGACCAATCCGTGTGCCATATCCGTTTCCATTCCATTCCATTCCATTACAACGGAGATGGTAACCCAACAATCAGAGAGAAAGGGGAGAGGGCAAAATGGTTTGCCAAGTCAGAAAGTTGCGGTTACGAATTTTACCATCGGCACAAAGCGAACATTTTTTTTTTTCATTTTTTTTTAAATTACGATTATGATTATTATTATTATTATATCTTTATCTTTTATTCATTATCTCATTTTTTTTAGAGATATAAATATCTTTTTTATTATTTGGTCT